AAAGGGGGGATATCATCTGTAGAATATCCAGATTTATTAAATGGGCTGTAAGACAAGAACTTATTTACCTTTCCTCTTCCTGCTGCTAGATATTTGGTTTAACATGGTTCATTATCATGGTTGGATGAATGTTTAACATGGCCTGGTTAGAGCTCCATTCCATTTCAGTTATAAACGTCACATCTCTTAAAATATAGCCAAGATGACGAAGCTGATGGAGTATGATGGTGTTCAAACTTAGATAAGCTAATTCAATAGACAACTAGAAATGCCAATGAGTCCATCGTAAGAGCTTAACCGGTTTTTATTTTGAGAGCTTACTTAGATTATGTAGATAAAGGAAATTGCCAACTCTAAAAATGCAACAGTTGTACTAAAATTATCAAGCATTTATAAAGAATGAATATTAAAAAAAGGTGGTCTTACGTTGAGTGCCAAGTTGCTCCTTAAGTCTTTGTTCTTTACTTCTCCCATTGTGGAGCTTCAAATACAAAGAATAAGGTCACACTTCCTGTTTGTTATTTCAGAGGTACATTATACATTACACCTCTTTAAATGTCTCAATAGGATTCTTAACCCAGGAAAAAAATAAAAATATCATCTCCACAGTTAAATTATCTAAAGAATAGCAAGAGCTGTTAACTCCATAAATCCCGTATCATATTACCAAAGAACAGGGAAATTCTGCTTTTAAAAAATGAAAATAGGCCAGGAGTGGTGGCTGACACCTATAATCCCAACACCTTGGGATGCCAAGGTGGTTGGATCATCTGAGGTCAGGAGTTCCAGACCAGACCAGCCTGGCCAACATGGTAAAACCCCACCTCTACTAAAAATACAAAAATTTGCTGGGCATGGTGTGGGTGCCCCTGTAATCCCAGCTTCTCAGGAGGCTGAGGCAGGAGAATCGCTTAAACCAGGGAGGCAGAGGTTGCAGTGAGCTGAGATGGCGCCATTGCACTCCAACCTGGGCGAAGAGAGTGAAAAGTGAAACTCTGTCACAAACATAAAAAAAAATAATAAAATAAAAATATGCTAAGCTAGCATAGTAGAATGTTTCAAAACAGCCCAATAAAAGCTGATGTTACAGTATAGTATAGTTGCTAGCATAGCTCCAGGTTAGGATAAGCTGTTAGAACATGAGATTGACATTCCACCTGTTCCTTCAACATGGGGCAAAGTACAGCATGGTTAAGAGTTGGATTTCTAGCCCAGACAGACCTGGCTAGGAATCCTGATTCTGCCACTTATTAGCTATGTAATCTTGAGCAAGTTATTTAACTTCTGTATGTGTGTCTCTTCATATGCTAAATGAGGATAATAATAATAGATACCTTACAGATTTTGTATGAAGATTAATGCATACGAAGCGCTCAGCACAGTGCCAAACACACGGAAGTACACCATAAATGTCCAGTTATTGCTTTTCTATCATTGCCTAGCTACACATAAGCAACATATGGTCCTGATTCTTGATAATCAAATATTCTTCATAAACCACTTCTGAGGGCTAGAGTAAGAGTAATCAGAGAATGAAAGATTAAACCAACCCTTTCTCTTCTCAGACGATAGGTCCTATGTAAGATACACATACCACATGCTGTCAACCCATCTGAGACACTCAGCTTTCAAATGACAGTTCTTCTCTGAAGCTAACCTAGCCAAAAGAGAGAAGTGCACTATCTGTTAAGCTGTGTCAGTAGCTAAGTCTGTGTTTCTAAATTAAAAACATGTAAGTTGCCGGCCGGGGGCAGTGGCTCACGCCTGTAATCTCAGCACTTTGGGAGGCCGCGGCTGTCGGATCAGGAGGTCAGGAGATCAAGACCATCCTGATTAACATGGTGAAACCTCGTCTCTACTAAAAATACAAAAAATTAGCCGGGTGTGGTGGCCGGTGCCTGTAGTCCCAGCTACTCGGGAGGTTGAGGCAGGAGAATGGCATGAGCCCAGGAGGCAGAGCTTGCAGTGAGCCGAGATCGCACCACTGCACTCCAGCCTGGGCAACAGAGCGAGACTCTCTCAAAAAAAAAAAAAAGTAAGTTGCCTTTTTTACTAATAATTAGTAACTTAGCCAGAGGCTGATCATATCAGATAGAAACTGGCCCCATGCATAGATGTGTATTCACTTATACAATTAGAGAGAGGTAACATATCACATCAAAGATGGATTTTAAAAGCATTGTATTGTAGCCATATAATTTTTAAATTCTTTTTTTTTTTTTTTTTTTTTGAGACAGTCTCACCCGGTCGCCCAGGCTGGAGTGCAGTGGCGCCTGCAACCTCTGCTGCCCGGGTTCAAGTGATTCTCCTGCCTCAGCCTCCAGAGTAGCTTGGATTACCGGCGCCTGCCACTGCGCCTGGTTAATTTTTGTAGTTTTAGTAGACACAAGGTTTCACCACCTTGGCCAGGCTAGTCTTGAACTCCTGACCTCGTGATCCACCCGCCTTAGCCTCCCAAAGTACTGGGATTACAGGCGTGAGCCACCACGCCCGGCCATAATTTCTTAATTCTATAATATCTTGTGGTATCCTGTGGCATTTAATCACACAGTAATTTTTGAAGCACTTCTGCAGACTCATATGAGTTAACTTCTAGGTATTCAGCTCCTAAACCTCTTAAGGAAGTCACTGCATTCATATGCCATAGTGCCTGCTTACTAAATTAATGAATGAATAATCAGGGTCACTTTTTTTTTAGATGGAGTTTCACTCTTGTTGCCCAGACTGGAGTGCAATGACACAATCTCGGCTCACCGCAACCTCTGCCTCTCGGGTTCAAGTGATTCTCCTGCCTCAGCCTCCCAAGTAGCTGGGATTATAGGCATGCACCACCACACACAGATAATTTTGTATTTTTAGTAGAGACAGGGTTTCTCCATGTTGGTCTTGAACTCCCAACCTCAGGTGATCCGCCTGCCTTGGCCTCCCAATGTGCTGGGATTACAGGTGTGAGCCACCGTGCCCAGCCTTAGGGTGACATATTAAATATAGAAAATTTAAGGAGAAACTAATATGCAAAGCATATGGGCTCACAATAGGCTACATAGCAATGAATATGCCTCATTTACAAAATAGAAACACAATAGTAAAAATATGACAGGTTTTCAACTGAGAATGACAATATAAATTATATTAGACAGACAATAGCAGAGAAAGCTCAGAAACCTGGATCTGAATCCTAAATCTGCTTTTTCTCATTATTTGGTATTACAGAGACTCAGAAGGACAAAAGAAAGCACATTTCATTCTTTTAAAAAATGTACGCTAGGCCAAGCGCAGTGGCTCACGCCTGTAATCCCAGCACTTTGGGAGGCTGAGGTGGGCAGATCACCTGAGGTTGGGAGTTCAAGACCAGCCTGACCAACATGGTGAAACCCTGTCTCTACTAAAAATACAAAGTTACCCAGGCATGGTGGCACATGCCTGTAATCCCAGCTACTTGGGAGGCTGAGGTCAGAGAATCGCTTGAATCCAGGAGGCAGAGGTTGCAGTGAGCCAAGATCATGCCATTGCACTCCAGCCTGGGCAACAAGAATGAAACTCCGTCTCAAAATAAACAAAAAGTATGCTATATCTAAGCTATGGCATGACAAGTATACAGTTTATTATATACATCACAGTGCAGTGGAAGGAGTATGGGCTGGACCCAGCTCTGCTAGTAGTTAGAGGTACACAATCACTTAATGTTCTTTAGGGCTAAGTTTCCTTATTTTATTCATTAAGGGGATTGGATAATATAATCCGTAAATCCATTTTAGCTCTGAAATTGTACTGCTCAGTAGTGTATCTTACAGACATATTCGCCATGAAACCATTTATATTACAAGAGTGGTTAATGTTTTCGTTACATCCTTTTACAAAAGCATTTACATATATATACACACATACATACATGTATTTTTTTTCTTTTCTTTTCTTTTTAGAGACAAGGTCTCACTCTGTCACTGAGGCTGGAGTGCAGTGGCACACTCACAGCTCACTACAGCCTCAACCTCCCAGGTTCAAGCAATTTCTCCCACCTTAGCCTCCCAAGTAGCTGAGACTAGAGGCACACCATCATGCCCAGCTAATTTTTGTATTTTTGGAAGAAATGGGGTTTTGACATATTACCCAGGTTTGTCTCGAACTCCTAGGCTCAAGCAATCCGCCTGCCTCAGCCTCCCAGAGTGCTGGGATTACAGGCATGAGCCACCACACCCAGACAAAAGCATTTTTTTTCCTTCTTTTTTTTTTAGGGGCTTTCTGGCAAAAACTGAAAAGCCTGCTAGACAAATTCTAAAAGAGCTGTTAACACTGCCAAAAGCATTTCTAATTTAACGAGGAAATTGTACCCGGGTCTAAGTCCTCACTACAAACTCCACATACCTTTATATGAACACGAGGATAAGATTACACCAAGATTTAACTTCTCAAGATAAAAGATTAACTGAAGAACAATTCTGATACCTTGTACTAAGTACTACGAACACAACAACCATAAGTGACTATGTGATACTTATGCTCGTGAATACCCTCAAAAATCTTTTGTTTCATCACTCAATAACAAAATAACTTTTGCTGAAATCATTAAAATTAGCTCAGTAAAAAAGCAAATGCACAAAGAAGTACAAGGGTATTTATTTTATAGCATTATTAGTAGTAACAAAAGATTGGAAAGCATCTAAACATACAGCAACAAGAAAGGGCTAAACACATTATAACACATTTAGAAAATGAAACTATTTAATTGTTCAAAATAATGATTAAGTAGAGGCAGTTCCATGTTAATCATATGGAACAATTTCCAAGAATTTACAAGTCAGGACAATGGACATAGGGTGCTATCATCTGCAAAAGAGAAAAAAGCAAAAATGAAATATATGTGTAGACTATCTCTGGATAGTTACAGAATGAACTAGTTCACAACAGCTGCCTTTAGGAAAAATAATTGGAGGTCAGTATTATAGGGGTAGGAAGAAAACATACTTTTTTTTTTTTTCTGAGGCAGAGTTTTACTTTTGTCACCCAGGCTGGAGTGCAATGGTGCGATCTGGCTACTGCAACCTCTGCCTCCTGGGTTCAAGCGATTCTTCTGCCTCAGCCTCCCAAGTAGCTGGGATTACAGGCGCCCACCACCACACCTGGCTAATTTTTGTATTTTTAGTAGAGATGGAGTTTCACCATGTTGGCCAGGCCAGTCTCGAACTCCTGACTTCAGGTGATCTTTCCGGCTCAGCCTCCCAAAGTGCTGGGATTACACGCGTGAGCCACCGCACCCGGGCAAAAATATACTTTTAAAACTTCTTGTAGTACATTTAAAATTTTTTTCCATAGGTATGGTGCATCTATTTCTATTTTTAAAGTTACATTTTCTTTTTTTAAGTTACAATTTCAAGTGAATAAATGAACAGTAAAAAAAAAGTCCAATTGTCCAACTGTATATATATATACAGATACAAATGCACACCCACAAAAAAGAGTCTAGAAGGAAATATACCAAAATATTAACAGTGGTTGTCTTTGAATAGTGGAATATAGGTGATTTATTTTCTTTTATCTTTCTCTATATTCTCCAAATATCTCAATGAACATGTATTAGCTTTGAAATTATAAGAAGTTACACGTTTTTAAAACAAATACACATTTCTATCACAATTTTCTCAGATATTAAATAAAGTACATGCTGTGAGAATATGTATATTTTTATTAGAACTCTGAAATGGTTTCATGCTGGGATTCCATATGTTTGCTCCAGACTCACCCTGAAGTTATTTGAAGGGTCCTTGAGACTCTTTTGGATTGCTGCTTGGAGAACATTCTTATAACCTGTCCCTGCTCCTTGAGCTATAAAAGCAGAAGAGAGGTACTGAGTTAAAACTTATAAATTATTATCAAATAAATCTTCAACAGTGGTTCAGTCCAAGGTCAACCATCAGCTTTCAAAATACCCTAAACTTTCCAGCCACCTTACTGAATTCAAAATTTCAGATGACTCTTCGACCAAACATCATTACGAATGGAGTATAGGGCGCCCTGGCCCGTCCCGCCGCAGACCCCGCCCCCGGCCCACCCGGCCGGTGGCTGCAGAGTGGCAGCGGCGCGGTGTAGGCGGCAGCAGCAGCGGCAGCAGCAGCGGCAGCGTTTATGTCGGGTCCCACGGGGCCTCGCAGCAGCATGGCGGTACCTGATCAGCGGCGGCACCAGCTACATGCTCCAGGACGGGCTCACCGCACAGCAGCTCTTTGCCAGCGACCAGGGACTCACCTACAACAACTTCTTGATTCTCCCAGGATTCATAGACTTCATAGCTGATGAGGTGGACCTGACCTCAGCCCTGACCCGATGGTCACGCTGAAGACGCCACTGGTCTCCTCCCCCATGGACACTGTGACAGAGGCTGACATAGCCATCGCCATGGCTCTGATAGGAGGTATTAGTTTCATTCACCACAACTCACTCCAGAGTTTCAGGCCAGTGAGGTGCGGAAGGTCAAGAAGTTTGAATAGGACTTCAACACGGACCCGGTGGTGCTAAGTTCCTCGCACACTGTGGGTGATGTGCTGGAGGCCAAGATGCGGCATGGCTTCCCTGGCATCCCCATCACGGAGACAGGCACCATGGGCAGCAGGTTGGTGAGCATCGTCGCTTCCCGAGACATCGATTTTCTTGCTGAGAAGGCCCACACCACCCTCCTCAGTGAGGCAATGACGCCAAGGATCGAGCTAGTGGTGGTTCCAGCAGGTGTGATGTTGAAAGAGGCAAATGAGATCCCACAGCTTAGCAAGAAAGGGAAGCTGCCTACCGTCAACGATCAAGATGAGCTGGTGGCCATTATCACTGACACCCACCTGAAGAAGAACCAAGACTACCCTGCGGCTTCCGAGGATTCCCATAAGCAGCTGCTGTGCGGGGCAGCTGTGGGCACCCGTGAGGATGACAAATACTGCCTGGACCTGCCCACCCAGGTAGGCGTCGACATCATAGTCTTGAACTCGTCCCAAGGGAACTCAGTGTATCAGATTGCCATGGTGCATTACATCAAACAAAAGTACCCCCACCTCCAGGTGACTGGAGAGAACGTTGGTGACAGCAGCCCAGGCCAACAACCTTATTGACACTGGTGTGGACGGGCTGCGCATGGGCATGGGCCGCGGCTCCATCTACATCACCCAGGAAGTGATGGTCTTCGGTCAGCCCCAAGGCACTGCTGTGTACAAGGTGGCCAAGCATGCCCAGCGCTTTGGTGTGCCCATCATAGCCAGTGGCAGCATCCAGACCGTGGGGCATGTGGTCAAAGCCCTGGCCCTTGGAGCCTCCACAGTGATGATGGGCTCCTTGCTGGCCGCCACCACGGAGGCCGGCGAGTACTTCTCAGACAGAATGCACCTCAAGAAGTATCGGGGCATGGGTTCACTGGATGCCATGCAGAAGAGCAGCAGCAGCCAGAAACAATACTTCAATGACAGGGATAAGGTGAAGATCACACAGGGTGTCTCGGGCTCCATCCAGGACCAAGGGGCCATTCAGAAGTTCATGCCCTACCTCATAGTGGGCATCCAGCATGGCTGCCAGGATATCGGGGCCTGCAGCCTGTCTGTCCTTCGGTCCATGAGGTGCTCAGCGGAGCTCAAGTTTGAGAAGCGGACCATGTCGGCCCAGATCGAGGGTGGCGTCCATGGCCTGCACTCTTACGAGAAGCGACTGTACTGAGGACAGCGGTGCAGGGCGAGGTGGCGGAGGGAGTGCACCCCAGTGTCCACCTTCGGGCACAGCCTCCCTCCATCACTGAGTCCACAGATTTGCCCTACAGGTTCCCCAGCTCCTTTCCAGGGAGAGAGGAGGGGAGGCTCTGAGGGGTCTGCGGCCACCCTCGCTGAGCATCCCCTGCAGAGTCAGGACTGCTCCCTGGGTTAGGCTGCCCTGGGATACCCCCTGAATCCAGCCAGTCAGGCTCTCAGGCCCTGCACCTGCCTCAGGTCTTTCTTGCTGCAGCCTGCTCCAGCCCAGCCCCCACCCCAGGGGCAGGAGGCTCCTCCTGGCTTCTCCTGTAGGGCACCTCCCTGTCCCCAGTCCCCCAGGAAATGGTGCTCTCCTGGCCCTGCCTCGGCCCCTTCCCGGGCTGCTGCCCCCTCAGCCATGTGGCACTTCTGAGCTCCTGACCTAGGCCAAGGGGAGGTCTCTGCCCCCTTCCCTGGCCCTGGGCTACCCTTGGGTCCTGCTCCTCAGGCCACTCCCCAGTCCCTGGCCCTGGGGAGGAGGCCGCCCTGGTCATGGCTGCCTGCCTGTTATTCCTGACTCACCACCGTCCCCAGGTGTACCATTCCTGCCCTCTCCTCAGCTGCAGTTGAAGGCTTTAACTTTGCACACTTTGGGATCACTGTCGAGTCACTGTGTGTTAAATAATCGGAATAAATCAAGTAGGTCTCAAAAAACAAACAAAAAAAAAGAATGGAGTATAAATGCTACTTCTGTTCTCGATCTTTGATCAGACAAATTTAGAGTGTGTTGGGGTGGAAGAGTGCTCTATAGATTAATGAGTCTCAGCCATGCCCTTTAGGCTGTGATGCTATGGTGGCAGTGAACTTGCTAACAGAGCCGAAGCTGAGGCTGAGTCTAAAAGACAATGAGGGATGCAAGTAAGGGAGAAGGCCAATGTGAGTCTGGTCCTTTTTATCAAGGAAAAAATCGAATGTGCTCTTTTCCGTAAGGAAGTTTTGTGAAATTTGGGACACATGCAAGGAAAGTATGAGACCCAAGTGACATCACCCGAAGTTGGATAGTGGTTGTGAGGCCAAATACCAGAGCAAGGCAGTAGGGTTCAGCATACATGCAAAACTCCTGAATGTCCATAGCTCTGCCAGCCTGTGCAGATCCCAGATTCTTTCTTGAAGACTGAAATGTTAAGAACTGCTTGGCAGCATTTTGCAGAGATCATGAATATACAGGGCAATGGAGTTGGCAGATCTGAGATATGAAGAATATAAAGGGACGTGATTTCTAGCCACAAGCTAAAGGGGGCTTTGGTCATCCGGGTTCCATTCCATCCACCTATCCAACAAATGAATCTTTACCAGTCACGCCCCGCTCCATGCACAGAGTACTTCCTCTAGGCCACTGAGAGGCCAAAATTCTTACCAGACTGCTTGTATTTCTGGATTTTTGTCTTCAGGTCTATTCTGTGGATGTTCTTTAGGCATTTTTCTAATAAATCCAGTTGATCTGGGGCAACCAGATTTAGTTTCTCCAACTCAACCACAAGGTCCAAGAAACTCTAAGAGAACCACCAACAAAAAACAAACGTCAATAGAGCTAGCTAGACCAGGTGCAGTAGCCCATGCCTGTAATCCCAGCACTTTGGGAGGCTGAGGCGGGAAGACTGCTTGAGCCCAAGAGTTCGAGACCAGCCTGAGCAAAACAGCGAGACCTCCATCTCTACAAAAAAATAAAAAAATAAGTTGAGTGCAGTGGTACACACCTGTGGTCCCAGCTACTCAGGAAGCAGAGGTGGAGGATCACTTGAACCCAGAGGTCAAGGCTGTAGTGAGCCATGATTGTGCCATGGCACTCCAGCCTAGGCAGCAGAGTGAGACCCTGTCTCCAAATAAAAAAAAAAAAACAGAGCTGACTAATAAGCCCCACATGCAAACCTCAGTCCATGTGATTTATAGCAGTAAGAAGACGTGACAAGATGGGCCCTTTCAGTGACCTTCAGTGATCTTAAACCAGATATCTCTGTCATGAGCAACTCAGACTCCTGATTTTTACTCAGAACAGAGGTGGTGGTATAAGTTTTTTGGTCATCAATCTGCTCCTTGGTTGCACACAGACACGTGTGCCATGTTGTGTCATTGAGAAGGACCATGAAAGAGCAGGGCTGAAACGAGAACCCTCCTGAGTTTATTATTTTCCAAAAGGCCAGGCTGGTCTCATAGTGAAAAACTCTAAGGGCTTCTCTGAAAAAGGGAGAAGGAAGGTAGCTGGGGAAAGACTTTATGAGAAAAATCACATGATATAGTTTTAACGTTTCCAAAATATTTGAATCAATGCTGGACCTTCCAACTCATTCTGACCTTCTGACTCAGGGGGTTATAAAAAAGTGAAATTACAACAAGGTTTGAGTGTTCTGCTATTCATTTACCTTGGGCCACAGTGATTATGAACCAACTATAGTTCAGAAACAGGCATTGCTTTGGGATCTATTTCCTTTGCATTTAACATTTGGTTACTGAAGTGCTATCTTTATTTTTGAAAATAATAATCATAATTTAAATATATATAAATGACTGGGAGAGACAATTACTAGCAGAAACCAAAAAGGGAGTTCTAGTTTCATTTTCCTTCCCATTTTGCGTTTAATGGGACTTAAGAAACAAAACTAAAATCATTAGGAACATGAGGAAATTCTCAAGCAATGACTTATCTGAATCGTCAGAGGCAGGCACTGGCCTGCCTATTTTGAGGACCTATTGTCATATTTTAGAAACAATAGGTTCTCAAACATTTCCTGGCCTATCCTTAGGTCAACAGTACCACGTAGGGCCAACTGGAATGTTGTTTTATTTTATTTATTTATTTTTTTGAGATGGAGTCCCGCTCTGTAGCCCAGGCTGGAGTGCAATAGCACAATCTTGGCTTACTGCAACCTCTGCCTCCTGAGTTCAAGCAATTCTCATGCCTCAGCCTCCCAAGTAGCTGGGATTACAGGCGCCCACCACCATGCCCAGCTAATTTTTATATTTTTAGTAGCAATGAGGTTTTGCCATGTTGGCCAGTCTGGTCTTGAACTCCTGACCTCAAGTGATCTGCCCGGCTTGGCCTCCCAAAGTGCTGGGATTACAGGCATGAGCCACTGTGCTAGGCCAACTGGAGTTTAAATATTTTTCTTTTTTGTTGTTGTTGTTTTTTTGAGATGGAGTCTTGCTCTGTCGCCCAGGCTGTAGTGCAATGGTGCAATCTCGGCTCACTGCAACCTCCGCCTCCTGGGTTCAAGTGATTCTCCTGCCTCTGCCTCCTATAGCTGGGATTATAGGCGCCTACCACCACGCCGGCTAATTTTTTGTATTTTTAGTAGAGACGGAGTTTCACCAGGTTGGCCAGGCTGGTCTCAAACTCCTGACCTCAGGTGATCCACCCACCTCTGTCTCTCAAAGTGCTAGGATTACAGGCATGAGCCACCACGCCTGGCCATGGATTTTAAATATTTTTCCAGTAATCATGACACATCCCCTAGATCTTCACCACTACCTGGTTTTCTTTTCTTTTTTTTTTTTGAGACAGAGTTTTGCTCTGTCACCCAGACTGGAGTGCAGCGGCGCAATCTTGGCTCACTGCAAGCTCTGCCTCCTGGGTTCATGCCATTCTCCTACTTCAGCCTCCCAAGTAGCTGGGACTACAGGCGCCCGCCACCACGCCCAGCTACTTTTTTTGTATTTTTAGTAGAGATAGGGTTTCACCGTGTTAGCCAGGTTGGTCTCGATCTCCTGACCTCGTGATCCACCTGCATCGGCCTCCCAAAGTGCTGGGATTACAGGCATGAGCCACCGCGCCTGGCCTCCTGGTTTTCAACTCTAAATCTCTACTTTTACCATTTCCCAGATACATCAGTCACAAGAACCTCCCCCCACCCCACTCCTACGTGCAGCCTAGACCCCACACTGACCTTGAGTCAGCTGAGGAGAAATAGATGGCAGTAGGAGAGCAATACCATAATGGACTAGCACCTCCTTCCTGTTTCCACCCAGCACAAGCAGATGGGATGTCCTCCCCACACCCCCGTCAAACCAGGGAGGGAAACACATATGAGCCAGGCCTATGAATTTTACAGAAATAAGGATAAAATCCAAGGATAAAAGAAACATCCAAGGCCACACCAGAAGATATTATTATCCTATTTCTTCAATTCATAAACCAATTCTCTTCCCATTCATGTTATTTAAAAACCACCTGAGATGTCTGACTCCCACTACAGTGGCAGCAGACTGCCTGCTTCCCTCTCTCTGTATCAAAAATAGTAGCTCCCACTTCTGATAGGCTCTTGGGACCATGAACCAAAAAGAAGAAAACTCACCTTCTCCTTGCTTATCTTGCCTCGGCCCATGTAATCCTTCATGAGGAAAATTAATGAGGATACATCAGATTTATCCAAATCCTCACCGATCTCTGCCATCAGCACTCTGCAAACCAGAAAAGTTCATTTAGTTAATTCAGACACAAGTCCTAAGACAACTCGAAGTGCCCACGCCTCCCCTATGCAACAATGGATTGAAAGACTAGTTCTTGCCCCTGTGTAAATGTGTCCCTCCCTCATAAAACAGCAAGCCTGGATCACCCCAGGAAGAGATCTTAAGGGAACTCAAAAAAGGGATCTTGTCTTTGCCCATTTAATAGGAGATGGTACCTCCTTTGCCAACTAACAGCTTCTGAAAACAACTCAGAGAATGGAAACTTCCCTAAAGAATCCCCTAGCTCCCCCAGAGGTTATAGTGAAATGACTTAAGAACCCAAATGACTAACATAAAAGGCAGAAATAGAATTTGAAGGAGCCTTGTCGTCTCTGTTTAACAAGCTCTCAGGTGATGTTGATTCAAGGACCATATTTTGAATTGCAAGATGCTAAAGGAAAGAAATACCTGACATATCCCAGCCCACTTCTGAACTTAAAGGGTACAGGCATCTGGATCACGGGGATTCTGAACTTAGATGTCTTTGCCTAGAAAGCCTCTCCTGACTCAGTGGTGGCCGGAGCTAACGCTATATATATATATGTATAATTTTTTTTTTTTTCCAGGAAATAGACTTTGAGAACCAGTAACTGCATTTTACTGGGGGCTCCTAAGGACAACTTGTGGTTAGTATTGTTATCATGACATTGTCATCAGGCCATTTTCCCAGTTAGCCTCTCAGATTCTCGAGGATGACAGATTTTTCATTTTGTCCTAGAGCTTATCAAAACACTTAGCACATGGCAATACACAATGAAGCCCACTCACCAGATGAATAAATAAATCTAGCACTCCCCTTCTACTGGCCCCCTTCTCTTCCCAGAGGGCCTGAAGAATCTCCACTCATCATAGCAAGGAAATGGGAAAAGGAGAGATTGCCCTAATTTACTCACTGAAACTCAGTTGGCACCTCTCAGAAAGTTTGAAGACTACTGACATTAAAACTGATGGCTGAATAGGTGGAAGATTTAAAAAAACAATAATAACAACAATGATAATAATCCCCTGTATCTGTAGAGTGCTTCACAGTTTAAAAAGTACTTCACATAGTAAATTACTATAGCTGATGCTCACAACAACCTTGTAAAGTCGGGTATTATTATTTTTCGCTTTACAAGTAGGAAAACAAAGGCCCAACAAGGTTAGTGATTGGCCCAGGCTGCCTGGCCGTAACTGGTAGATCTGAGGCTTGAAACAGGTCTTCCAGCTACAGTGAGCTATGATCACACCACTGTACTCTAGCCTGGGTGACAGAGCAAGACCCTGTCTCAAAAAAAAAACAAAAACAAAAACAAAACAGGCTTTCCAAGGTCAAATCTCATATACTTCCCAGAGCCCACACTGCTTTCAGCTCTTTTTGGTATAGTTCTTGATAATATATATCATCTCCAAATACACATTATCAACATAATAAAAGGCTGGTGGTCGAGAGAAAAACACCAGCTGGGCACGGTGGCTCACGCCTATAATCCCAACACTTTGAGAGGC